CGTAATTGGAAGCAAATATCCGAAAAAATNATTTTATNGAAAGTAAATATTTAATTGTCCTAGATTTAGGGGATTTAAACTACTTTTGGTAGTTTAGACTTTCTACTATTTGGTAGAACATAGAGAAAGAGGTAGATAGAAGGAGTAGAAAATGCATTCTGCTGGTGTAGATGACAAAGACATTGGTAGAAATAGCATTCTGCGACTGGTAGTACTGAAGCAAATGGTAGATTGTGCAATATGCGATATGTAGAAATTGAGCAATTAATAGAATACTTCATTCTACCACTCGTAGATTTATTCAAATTCGTAGAACATCTAATCTACTAGTAGATTCGACTAAGGTAGAAGCAAAAATAAATAATTTTCTGTCATAGTTTAAAAAAAAAAAATTGTACATGAATCTATATATTTTGTGTATTACTCTTTTGTATTTTCTTAATTTTATAAAATTATAAAAACCATTTATTTGTAATTTTCGAAATTAATCAAAGGGTAATTTAGGAAAAAGTTGGTAAAAATAAGGCAAAAGTTATTTCGCAAAACACTAATTCAAACTGAGTCAATTTAGCAAATTTTCCAAAAAAAAAGCATTGAAAATGTGAGTGGTAGAGAAAAATAAGATTTTCAAATTTGAGTTGTGTACTTGGAAGGGAACGACTTCGAACTTTCATGACCATGTCACTGCCAAACTAGAACATCCTTCACAAAAGTGGCCCATAACTTAACCATACTATGAGGCTTAAAGCCCATGGGCTGGACTTAATCCCCCGTGTTATATAATCGATATCCAAATAAATTTTGTCTTGTCAAAAATTACAAAAAACAAAACTAATTCTTGTTTTTTTTTTTTCAACAAGCTTTTCATTAATTTAAACGATTAGAGTACAAAATGAAAGAATTAAACATCCTCCTACATTAATACAACATAATTGAAATGCAATAAACCATAATGGACAGCGGATCCAAGACATGTCTCGGATGCGTCAAGAGGATCTTCGCGGCAAAGCCGGAAAATCTCAGGATAGTCACTTTCCAGTGTGACTTTAAAGATCCCGGCATAGATTTCGGGAGTTCGACCGCTCTCAAAGAGAAGGAAAAATATACGACCAATCTTAAAAAGATGGAAGACAGTGGAATTGAATTCCTCCACCGGGAGTAAATTACAGGATTTGAGAATCCAGAAAACTTTTGTCTTCTCTCGATAGGAGTAAAATCAATAAAAACTACAGAATTTGAGAATCCAGAAAACTCTACCATCAAGCTCATAAACATATAAATATTTTTAAAAACTGCTTTTTAAAAACAATTGGGCTGGACCTATTAATCTAGCTAGCCCAAAAATTTTATTCTTACTGGGCCAAGCCCACAGCCTTGAAACTGGGCCTACATGCCCAAATTTAACAATTACCAACCTTATGGGCCAAGCCCAACTCTTCTCCACAAAAACCAAGGGAGCTGTCGGGTGAGACCACGGCGCTGGCTGTTTTCCGATGTTACCGGGGCGAACTCCGGTCAGTTTGAAACGAGGAGGAGGATGGAAGGAGCGTCGCCGGAGCTTCAGTTGGTACGCCTCTCCGTCACGGGAGGATACTGGATGCTTTGAATCTTCTTTGAACCGGCCGCGCCGGCCAATGAGACCAACTGAAAACGCCGCAAGGGAGCAAGGGTAGGGGACAAGAGGCAGCGGGAGAGGCAGATCCGGTGGATCTAACAGAGCAGCAGGAGAGAAACTCCAAGGGCG